AAGATGTCCAGCTCTGCTGGGAGGTTCTCTATGTGACCAGGAGAGGAGCACCTGCCCTTGGGGGTTGCTGGAGAGATGGCATTGTCTAGATATGGCTCACTCACGTTACAGGCATCCTTCTTGCCTTCCTCAAAGCCGGCACACAGCATGTCTTCCAAGATGACAGGCTCCACACTGGAAACAGAGTTCTCCTGGTAGTAGTCATTGCAGGTCTGCGCATCAATAAGAGGCACTTGCAACTCTTTCAGGGTAAAGGGTGGTGGGAGTGCTGGGGTTGAGAGAGAGAGAGCTGAGTTAGGGGAAGGGGCAGTCCATCTCCCCTCAGCTCCACATGGCTAGCTGAACCCTGTTGTCAGGGCCATTTCTTCTGCTTCTTTGAGAAGAGCCTTGTTCCCCACATGAAGTTCTGAAAGCTCTGAGAAGGTGGTATCCAAGCATAAGGACATAGGTTTAGGAGGTCTAAGCTATTCCTCCCCTGAGCTGGGCACACACAGATGGGTGATGGCTCTATGGCTCTCAGCCTCTCTGCCAGGGTCAAGGCAGTGGAATGGGATGGACACAGGGTGGATGGGCACAGGACAAGCAGGAGCCTGTACCTGGCTTCAGGCCACTGGCCTGTGGTCAAGTTATATCCATTACATGACCCTACTCTTCCCAGCCTTCCAAATAGCAAGTCAAAGGTGATTTAGGTGTCAAGTGGGTTAAATAATGTAGCCCCAAATTCATGTCTATCCAAAACTTCAGAACGTAACCTTATCATCAAACAGGAGACCTGCAGATGTGATTGGCTAAGATGAGGTCATGGGTTAGGATGAGAGACTCTTAACAGACGCAGAAGGCAGACCTGGGGGGACAGACACATGGCAGTGGAGGTCAGTGAGAACCCCAAGGCCAAGACTGGAATAATGCAGCTAAGAGCCAAAGTTCACCCAACACTGGCAGAGGTTGAGAACCAAAGAGGGGCCCTCCCTAGAGCCTGAAATAGAGGCCCAGATGATACCTTAATTTCAGGCTTCTGGTCTCTTGAACTGAGAGGCTGATTTTACCATCAGCCTCAGGACACTAAAACAAGATGAGATCACAAAGATGACAACTGTGGTTAGGACCATGCTGATGAGAGTTGGAAATGGAAGTGCCTTCAAAAGCATCATGACAGCTGGGTGCGGTGGTGCAAGCCTTTAATCCCAGCTCTCAGGGAGGCAGAGGCAGGAGGAACTCTGTCAGTCCCTGTCCCTCCTGGTCTACAAAGTAAGTCCAGGACAGCCAAGGCCACGCAGAGAAACCCTGTCCCACAAAAAAAAAAAAAAAAAAAAAAAAAGCATCATGCCATGTACCTCTGATATGAACCCTACCAGGTCAATACTCTGGAGAGCTCACTGACCAGAGGAAGGACCAGGGCCCCATTAAATAGTGAAGGCTGCCCAGTCAAAAATGGTCCCCTGGCAAGCACTGTCCACAAGGGCCCTGGCAGCAAAGATGGCAGGAAGGCTGTAATACAGGCTGGGTTGGCATTTCTTAACCCGTTGCTGGATACAACACTATACTTCTGGCTACTAGATGCTAGGCGGACATCTGGGCACTGGCAGAAGCCAGCTGGCGATGAGCTCCTGTGGCGATGTTTCAATGTACCCTCTGTGGTAGACATTGTTTGCATAGATTCCCTACGGGTCCTGTCTGAGGGTGGGGACTGGCTCTAGGAAAGGCTTCAGGACCAGCCCTTCTCCTTCCCACTTCCCTGCCACTAGTCCAAACACCCTTACGTTGATTTGTGGCAATATGCCCCCAGCCAGTGACCCAGCACAAGGTGCCAGGATCCAGGGGCTCTCCGGGCTTTGGGAGGCAGACTGGAAGGATATAGTCATTGAAGGAGACAGATGAGGCCAGCTGCACAAGGGCGATGTCGCCACCAGCATGCTCATCCGCTGAGTAGCTCGGGTGCTTGATAAACTGGGCCACAGCTCTCAGCTCGCTCGGTTCGCTGGGTTCAGGGTAGGAAGAGATGGTACCCAGCAGGACTGTGTAGGCAGACAGGAGCTGGTCCCTGGGAAGAATGGGACTGTCAGTGGGTGAAAATGAAAGACATTTCATTATGCAGTGGCTCTAAGATTGCTACTGGGCCTTTCTGAGCACTAAGCGCACAGAAGCAAGGCCAAGCACCCCCTTTAATGGCCACCATTAATGATCATTGCTACCCATACACCCAAAGGCCACCTGACTACTGAGCAGCGTATTCAAGACTTGATGTTCTTGGGGTCTGGGGAGATGGGCCAGCATGTGAGAAGACTTGCAGTACAAGCATGAAGACTTGAGTTTGGGTCCCCACAACCCACAGAAACCCAACCCCGGTAGTGTGCACATCTGTGGCCCCAGCCTGTCCCTACGGAGAGGGGGGAGGTGAAGACAGGAGAGTTAGTAAAAGCCTGCTGACCAACTAGCCTGGTACGCACAGCGGTGGACAAAAAGAGAAACCATCTCCAAAAGCAAGGTGAAAGGTAAGGACTGATCCCTGAGCTTGGCCGCTGACCTTCACGTGCCCTGTCTGTGCCCACATTCTCACACACTCACGAACACATACTTCGAATATGCACACATGCATACTCAAAGGCCTTGGGTTCTCCAGGGATGTTTCAGAAACTCTTGATTCTGTGTGTGTGTGTGTATGTCTGTGGGGGGGGGGGTGTATGTGCTCACTCCTGTATGCACAGGAAAAGCACAGGATAACAGAAAGCACAGGATACAATCAGATGTCCTGCTCTGTTACTCTTGACCTTGAGACAGGGTTTCTCACAGAACCCAGAGCTATACCGGATGCCAGCAATCCCCGGAGATCTTCCACACACACCCCTAGCACTGGCCACAGCTAGCTTTTTAGGTGACCTGGGGCGGGAGAGGGAGGAGAACTCAGGTCCTCACGCTTGTTTAGCAAACTCTCTTATTTTATTGCCCTCTGCCCAAGAGTTGATCCTTGGGAATAAGAAGACTAGGTGACTAACCTAGGGCCAGGCCAGAGTCAGGTAGACAACTAGGACTGGTAACTGAGATACTAAAAAGGCATGGCCCTGCCTCATCTCCTGCCATGGCAGGCAGGGGCTGTGGTCCAAATGGAGAATGAGGGCCTCTGGAAGAAGTCAAGCCAGCTGGCCCCAGCCCATGTGACCCCCCAGGGAGACACTCACTGGCTGAAGCAATGGGCAGCGGTCAACACCCAGTCCTCGGCAATCAGGGAGCCCCCACACACGTGCTCCCCGTGCTCCCTCAGGCTGACCTGCCAAGGCCACTGGCCCAGCTGGGCGTCCTGCCCTGACACGATGCGGCTTGATGCCCTGGGGCGTCCACACACTGCAAGGAACCAGGAGAATCGGATGACACGTGACTACTCAGCCCTCCCCCTAAGCCCTCAAACCTGCCTCATTTGTCGCAGCCCCTGGGGACTTGACCAGTGTGGGCCAGAGGCTGTCCCCAGTGTCTGGCTCCCAACAGCCCCTGCCTGATGTAAGGCCAGAAGGTACCACAAACCTGCTGGCTCCTTCCTGTAATCCTAGCACTTGAAGGCTGAGGCAGGAGGATCAGGAGTTCAAGATCAGCTTCAACTATGAAATAAAGTGGAGGCCAGTCTGGGCTACAATGAGACCCACGCTCAAAACTAAAAAAAACAGAATAAAACTATATATTAGAAGGAAGGAAGGAAGGAAGAAAGGAAGGAAAAAGAAAAACAGCAACAAAACCTATATTCCATGTATCTTCCTAAAGCCCCTGTTCCCCACTTTACCTGAATCCAGATTAATTCTTCTCCTGTCTGTCCTAGAAGACAGGCTGTAGGAGTCGATTGTGAAGTTCTCACTCCCCAGAAGGGCTCCAGGAAAGAGGGTGAATATGATGGCAGGCAGGGCCAGCTCCATGGTGCACCTGCTAGGGGCCAGGCACTCCAGGAAGAAGGAAGGTGACTGCAGCTCTGAGGTGGTTTCTGGACTTGCCCTGGGGTGGGGCCCAGCCACCACACCTGCCACGCAGCAGCCATGGGAGAGGCCTGACACCTTCACGGTTCCTGGGCTTGGAGACCGTGGCCTCCAGAGATGCTTTATGCTCTGGGGTCTGGTCCTCCCATCCCGGTCCAGGAATCAGAGCGGCTACGACCTCATCTTTTCTTGATGTGGATGTGGAACCCTTATCTAGTGTGCCTGAGACTGTAGCAGCCACGGGTGGGACCCTCGGGAGCCTTCATGGCCCCCACTATCCACGAGAGGACAGCCGTGGGCCTGGCCCTTTGGCTCCAGGGGGCTTCTCAGAGATTGCCCAATCCTGGGAGCTTGCCAGCATGGAGCAGGAGGCATGTAGACGCCCTTTCAGACGGGCTTCTGTGGTATTTGTCTTCTCCAGAAGCTTCCATTCTGTTGGCTCTGCTCCGCCCAGTCTCTAGGCAACTCCTTTCAAGAAGGCATTGCCCCTGGAGAGGCTCACTGGCCTTCCAAACACCCCAAATGCCCCACAGATCTCTGGGGCTCGCTGGCCAGGCAGCCTATCAGCGTACCCCAGGGTCTGCTGAGGATTCTGTCTCAGAGCAAACAAACCAGGGTAGGGAGCTGGAGAGCACTCAGCAGTTAAGAGAGCTTGGTGCTCTTACAGAGAACCAGGCTTGGATTCCTAGGGCAGCCTAGCCATCTATAACCTTAGTTCTGGGGATCTGATGCCCTCTTCTGGCCTCCGTGGGCCCTGCCTGCATGTGCCACACATGCCTTTAAGCAAAACACTCAAACATATAAACTAAAAATAAATCTTTAAAGAAGCGAGGGAGAGGAAGGGAAAGAGGGAGGGAGGGAGAGAGGAAGGAAGGAAGGAAAGGAAATAAACAAGGCAAACAGCTCCCAAGAAATGACACCTGAGATTAACTTCTGGCCTCTACATGCCCCTGCGCACACACACATGCGCACGAGCACATAGGGGTGGGTAAGGGGAGGGCTAACAGAGTGGCAAGATAAAATTCATAAAGCGCTTCCCTTGGATTGTAAAAGCAGTTAGCAGTTGCGGCAGAGCTGCCTGTTGAGTCATCACATCCAGTGTGTACTTCTGGGGGTGCAGCTGCGCTGGAGTGACCCACTTCTAACACGTAAGCCTAATAAACTCACTAGCTCACCCAGCTACACTAGGGCTGAGTCTTTTCTGGGCTCTGCCGTTGGTGGAAGTAAACGGAAGGGGGGGAATTGGGAGTAGGAGAAAGCGATTGCCTTGGAGGATTCCTCCAAGACCAGAGCCAGTACCCACCCCATCAGTCTCGGCGCTTAGGTCTCACACCCATCCAGCACCAACGGTGTGTTTCCGGGCACCTGGTAGCCTGCCGAGTGTGGTACTGGTGAATATCCCTGGGCCTGTGAAGGCTTTTCCCCCCGGAAAGCCAGGACCCGTCAGATCCTCCTTTCCAGGCGTGACCAGCATGTTCCTTACGTCAGCAGGTGTTGCTCTGGGAACAATCAACTCCCCATACTTCCTCCTCTTCAGAACTCACAATCCCGGACACTTCCCCTGACACAGAGAGAGGGATGGGTCCACCTCCAACGTGCTCCTCGGGGATCTGAGAGCCTGGTGTGCCGTTTGGATTTTTTCAAACACTTTATTTCAGTTTAACCCTTCTTCTTTTGTAAAACTCATTCATTTCTATGTGCACGAGTGTTTTGCTGGCCTGGGTGTCTGACCACTGCCTGTGCGCCTGGGGCCTAGGGAGGCCAGAACAGGGTGCCAGATCCTCTGGAACTAGAGGCTACAGACGGTTGTAAGCTATCATGTGGATGCCTGGAACCAAACCCTGGTTCTCTGCAGGAACAGCAAGGGCTCTCAGCCACTGACCTGGCTCTGCAACCCAGCTAACACTTTCTGTTGTTTTAAAAAGTTTGTGTGAGTGAGTGTGTGTGTGTTGGAATAGGTACGTTGCCCACATGTGTGCAGGTGAGGGCACACGTGTGGAGGCCAGAGGTTGGCAATGGGTGTCTTCCTCGATTACGCTCCACTCACTCTCACTCACTTAATCTGTTTTTTTTTTGAGACAAATTCTCTCACTGTGCCTGGAGCTCACCGATTTGGCTAAACTGGCTAAACCACCAAGCCCCAGGGATTCTCTGTCTATGCCGCCATATACAGGCATGTGCCGTTATCCCCAGCTTAAGTGGACACTGGGGATCCGTGTTAGTCAGGGTTCTCTAGAGGAACAGAAGTGATGGACTGATGGTGTGTGTGTGTGTGTGTGTGTGTGTGTGTGTGTGTGTGTGTAAGGGGGGGGATTATTTGCTTGGCCTACTGGCTGTGATCTATCTAGTTCGATAATTGCTGTCTCTCAAAAGAAAGATCAAGAGCTGGGCGCAGCGGTGCACACCTTTAATCCCAACCCTTGAGAGGCAGAGGCAGGGGGATATCTGTGCGTTCCAGGCCAGCCTGATCTACAAAGTGAGTCCAGGATAGCCAGGGCTATCACACAGAGGAACTATGTCTCAAAACAAATAAACAAACAAACAAAGTGTAGGAGACCCCCAGAGGGCTGCTGTTCATATATTATCTTGGTTTTCTCTGCGCTTCTTCTTTTTGGGATGCTGAGGATCGAACCCAGAGCCTTGTCTGTGCTAGGCAGGTCTTCTCCAGGGAATCCCTAGCTCTTTCAGCTGCTGCCTCGTTTCTTTTATGTTGCTGTATTTGGGGAGCACAGAGGTCCTTGTGCTCACAGATAGCACTAGGGAAACCGGGAATGTTAAACAGGAAAGGTCGCCTCTTCGGCAGAGGAGATGCCCAGAAGGCTGAGAATGGAGGTAGCCCATAGCCTAGAGGACCCCTGTGCTATCTGTGGGGCTGGGCCAGAACTGGCTCCCCCAGGCTCCCACAAGCAGCACTGGAAGCAGTCAATCACCAGGGTGACCTCTGTGGGCTCTGTATGACGAAGACCTCGTTCTCCTCGTTCTCCCCAGGCCTGTCTTGTAGCCTTTCTCTAGAATCCATCTTCATGGAAGAGGGGACATGTACTTTGAAAAGACTTTAATGTAATTATGCCTAATTGTGCATGCAGGATTGCATTACACCAGGAAACTTTTATCCAAATTATATTGTACCTAAATATGCCCTCAGTAACCTGCCTGGTGTCAGACTCTGGGAGTTTGAACCAGCACCAGCCACTGAGTCATGCTGAGCTGGGTCTTCTTTTTGTCTCTCCTGGATTGTTACTCTGCTGGCCCTGATGATGTCTGTTCATTTGTTTATTTGTTTGTTTGTTTGTTTGTTTGTTTTTGAGACAGGGTTTCTCGGTGTAGCCCTGGCTGTCCTAGACTGGCTTTGTAGATCAGGCTGGCCTCAAACTCACAGAGATCCTCCTGCCTCTGACTGCTCGAGTGCTGGGTGAGCTTAAAGGTGTAGGTCACCACACTCAGCTCAAATAAATCTTGAAAAAAAACTTTTCTAGAAGCCAGGCAGAAAGCCTGGTATGGTGGCCCATGCCTTTAACCCCAGCATTTAGAAGGCTGAGTCAGTTTGATATCTATGAGTTCAATGCTAGCTTGGTCTACAAAGTGAGTTCCAGAACAGCCAGGACTACACAAAGAAACCCTATCTCAAGAGAGCAAAATAAATTTTAAAAAAATTTTTTTTCAAGGCAGGGTTTCTCTGTGTAGCCTTGGTGCTCCTGGAACTGACTTTGTAGACCAGGCTGGCCTTGAATTCAGAGATCCAGCTCCCTCTGCCTCCTGAGTACTGGGATTAAAGACAATAAATAATTTTTAAATTTTACTTATTTTATTTTAAATGCATGAATATTTTGCTTGAATGTGCGTCTGTGCTGCACCTGTGTGCTTGGTGCCTGCAGAGCGCAAAAGAAGTCATCAGATCCCTAGAACTGGGCTATGGACAGTTGTAAGCTCCCTTATGGCTACAGGGAATTGAACTGAGGTCCTCTGTAAGAACAGCAAGTGCTCTGAACCACTGGGTATTTTCTCCAAAACAGCTCTTTTAAAAAAATAAAATAGAGCCAGGTGTGGTAGAGCAAGCTTTTAATTCCAGCACTCGGGGAGGCAGAGGCTGGCTGATCGCTGTGAGTTCGAGACCAGCCTGGTCTACAAAGGGAGTCCAGGAAAGCCAAGGCTACACAGAGAAACTTTGTCTTGAAAAACCAAAACAGATAGATAGATAGGTAGGTAGATAGATAGATAGATAGATAGATAGATAGATAGATAAGGCTGGGTGATGTGGTGTACTCTTTTAATCCCAGCTCTTGGATGGCAGAGGCAAGCATATTTCTAAGTTCAAGGTCAGTTTGTTCTACAGAGTTCTGGGGTTGTGTTGAAAGACTCTACCTCAAAAATTAACTAGCTAAGGGAAGAAAGAGTTTACTTTGGCTCATAGTTCTAGGCTGCAGTCCATCACTGCAGGGAAATCACAGAGGCAGGAGCTCAAGACAGCTGCTCAGGCTGTCACGGAACTGAGAGCAGTGAGTGCTCGCGCTCACCCCTCCTTCCTTTGCATTCAGCTTCGGGGTCCAGCCTCTGAATCAGTGCTGCCCATCAGTGATGGGTAGTCTTTGTCAGCTTGACACAAATTCAGTCACCTGGAAGGACAGAACCTTACCTGAGGAATTGCCTCCATCAGATGGGCCTGTGGGCATATCTGTTGGGCTTTTTGATTGTTGCTATGGAAAGGCCAGCCCATTGTGGGCAGTTGTGGGCAGGGGGTCCTGGGGTGTATAAGAAAACAGGCTGAGCAAGCCAGGATGAGCAGACCCATAAACAGCACTCCTGCATGGCCTCTGCTTCAGCTGCTGCCTCCAGGTTTCTGCCTTGGCTACCTATGGTGGTGAGCTGTAACCTGAGAGCCGAGTAAACTCTTTCCTCCAGGTTACTTTTCGTCACGGTGTTTGTCACAGCAACAGAAAGCAAACTTTGACTGTCGGTCTTCTCACTTCAGCTAACCCCTAACAGGCCAACCTGATCTCTGAGTTCTGTGAGAACTTCTGAGCAATCATGGAACCGGAGGGGTTCGGTGTGGGTGCCCGGCCGGCTGTGCCTTCAAAGCTGATAACTGATGGACCAGCATTGTAATGTAGCCTCTGGCATGTCCTTACACAAGAAGGGTTTCCGGTGATCCCCATAGAGTGTGTAGGGCCTACTGCATGGCAGCAGAACGAGTATAGGGCTCTAAGCACTGTCTGTCCTCAAATAGGACCAGCCTTTGTTCAGTTCATCCAGCAAAAGACCATCACTTCTTTTTTTTTCTTTTTTTAATTCTATGAAAGATATTTATTGGATGGAGGTGGAGAGAGAGAGGGAAGGAAAGAGAGAGACATGGTGGGGAGAAGGGGGGGACCCCGACAGAGAGAGGAGATTGAGCAGAGAGAACAAGAGAGCAAGAGCAAGGCTATCACTTCTAACAACACATGAAAGCGCGTGCCACGGGACCTGTCAGAAGTCAAGCCGTGGGGGGGCCAAGCAAGGCTCCCACGCTGCCTCTTTTCCCCCTAGGGGGCGCCACTGAGCCTATAACGGCGGGAAGCAAAGCCGGGAGCCCAGCCGCAGACAGGCCGCCATGGGTGTGCAGAGCCCGGCGCTGCTTCTGTTGCTGCTGCTGGTGCCCGCGGTGCTAGGGAAGCCTGGTGAGCTGAGGAGATTCGTGCGCCAGACTGGGGTTGATGGGGAGTACGGGAACTCGGAGGTCCACGGCAGCTCACCTTCTCGCCTCCACCCAGGACCGCGTGAAGAAAGCCAGGCGCCAGGTGAGGAACAGCGCTCCCCGCGAGGAGCACACAGGCCGGGCAGAGGGAGGTCGCCTCAGCTCTCCCGTTCGTCCCCCACAGGCCTCAAGAACGCCACAGACATCAAGCTCCTCTCAAGTGACTGATGGGCCCCGTGGAGGGCTGGGTGTCTGCGGACCACGTGGGAGGGGTTCCTGGGGCATCTCCTGGCTCTTCCGGATACCGGAGGAAGGGGCGTACGGTTGCACCTTCTCCCCAGCCCCTCCCACACACTTGCATCCTGGGGACGCTGCGGGGCAGCCTCAGCTGCTCAGCAAGTGTCTCATTTGTCTGTCCCAGTGCCGTGTGGCCACCGGAATGACATTCAGTCGCTGATAGTGGGCGGGGTCGAATCCGTGCCGGGGCGCTGGCCATGGCAGGCCAGCCTGCGCCTGAAGAAGTCCCACCACTGCGGAGGGAGCCTTCTCAGCCACCAGTGGGTGCTCACTGCCGCACACTGCTTCAGGAAGTGAGTCCGGCATGGCAGGAGCCTAGCGGGCCAGTGCTCTCGAACCGAATCTCCTCGTACCCTCCCTGTCGAGCGGCAGCGGGTCACGGTAGAATAGCCTTCCTCGTTGCCCCATAAGGGACACTTCTCTGAATCTTCAGGATGTCTTACTGAAACATTCCCATGTGGTTTGGGGTATATCCATTTGTGCCCACGGCCCCCAGCCAAATGGAATCAGGAAAGTGGAGGCCTCCTTCCACCTTCCCTCGGAGCAGGAGGAGGCAGATGTTAGGCCCACACCAAGGCTGGTTGGTTGGTTTTGAAGTGGTAGAGCCCAGGTTTGGCCTTAGGCTTTATACTTAGCTGAGGATGACCTTGAACTTCTGATTGTCTTGCTTCTAGCTCTTGGCACGCTGAGATTATTGGATTCACTGGCGCTAAGCAAGCACTCGGCCGGCTGAGTTACATGCCCAGCCCTGTAACAAGATGTTTATCTGTTCTCCCAGAGAAGCCTCCCCAGCTTCTCAGTCCTCTTTGGATCGCACAGGCGTTCCCTCAGAGAGGCTCAGCGTCCTCAGGAAGTGAGGAGATCACTGGGCCCAGTGGGCTTCCTGTCTCTCTCACCACAGTGCCAATAAGTACTGGCCCCGTGGTTCACCTCTCACAGGGATGCAGTGGGCCCAGGTGGCCTGCCCTTCTCCCGAGGGTCCTGATAACTTTCTTCTTCTTTGCTAGGTTCCTTGATCCAGCAGAGTGGACAGTCCAGCTTGGGCAGCTTACTTCCAAGCCATCTCTCTGGAACAAGAATGCCTATTCTAGCCGCTACAGGGTAAAGGACATCATTGTAAACTCCAAAGGCACAAAGAAGTTGCACGACCTCGCCCTGCTGAGGCTGGCCTCCTCAGTCACCTACAGCAAGTACATCCAGCCCGTCTGTGTGCGGCCCTCCACCTTCACGTTCCAGCACCAGCCCAGCTGCTGGGTGACCGGCTGGGGAGCCCTTCAGGAGGATATGAGTGAGATTAGGGATGGTGGGGTGGTCATGAAGGTGGGCTATCTCTGTTCCCTGGAGCCCCCAAAGCCTCTTGCCTGCCCCCCATTCTCCCCATTTCTCTCCTTGTTCCCCCCCCCCTTGCAAGGAGCTCCCTTCTCTTCTAGAAGGTGTGGGTCCAGTGGGCAGACAGGCAAGAGAGGGACTCTCAGCCAGGCTTGCAGTCCCCAGCTAACCCAGATGGGTGCTCAAGGCCTTCTGAGAAAGCTCTCCTTTACGCTGAGATTTAATTTACAAGGACTTGTCAGCCTGGTCTACAGAGCTAGTTTCAGAGCTACACAAAGATACCCTGTCTCAAAAACCAAACCAAACCAAGAAAAGGGTCAGTTGGCATGATCCCAGCACTTGGGAAGTGAAGGCAGGAAGGTCAGGAGTTCAAGCCTGCCCTAGACTCCATATTCTGGACTGCATAGCAAGTCTGAGATCTACCTAGACTACATGTAGCCTTGTCAAAAAAAAAAAAAAAAAAAAAAGGGAAAACCTCATATCCCTCTGTCATTTCTTTTAGGCTCCTCATTTCTCTAGATTATGTAACTCGTGGCCACCCAGGCCTCTTCTCTGTCTCTTTTTGCTGGCTCTGGATAGTCTACACGAATACAGTGAGAGAAAACGGCCTTTTCTGTTGGGATTCTTTGATGTAATGTAGTCTCTTCAATGTCGCCCCCGTGGCGGTTTGGGGAACTGCTTCTCTCTCTTGTAAGTTCTAACTCAGCATTAAGGAACCACCTAAAGAATACACACCAACTTCATTTAGTGTGTGTACATGCTGCTCCACTAGGGACCTTCATTCCCACCCGTCCTTTACCTCATTATCCCCTCCCTACGGCCCCTGATAACCAGGGAGCCATCATGTTCAGACTCTCCCCATAAACGGAATGCAGTTTGTGGTTCAGTGACTCTGGCTTCTTTCACACACCGTCCCATCTTCAATATTCCCTTTTTTTTTTTCTTTCGAGCTTGAATGTTTTTTTTTTTCCCTTTCTTTTTAAAAATCTATTTATTTATTTTATGAGTGCTCTAGCTGCATGTACACCTGCAGGCCAGAAGAGGGCATCAGATCACATTATAGACGGTTATGAGCCACCATGTGGTTGCTGGGAAGAGCAGCCAGTGCTCTTAACCACTGAGCCATCTCTCCTGCCCTTTATTTCTTTCTTTAAAAATGATTTTCATTTATTCTGTGTGCACGTATGGTGTGTGTATGGATGTGGGTGTTGTGTATTGTGTTGTATGTATGTATGTATGTGTGTGTTGTGGGGGTATGTGTGTTTTACATATTGTATGTATGTGTGTGCATATGTTTTATGTGCTATGTATGTGTGTTATGTGTATATGTGTATAGTGTGTATGTTGAGATGAGAGAGAGAGAGAGAGAGAAAGAGAACAACCTACAAAGGAGTTTGTTCTCTGCTGTTATGCAGTCTTGGGGATTGAACTTGGATCCTCAGGCTTTGCCTCTAAACTCCGAGCTATCTCACAAGCCCTTATTTCTCTTTTTTACCTAATTGCTCTGGCTAGAACTTCCAGGATATGGGGCACAGAAAGGAGGCACCCCACCTTATCATTACTGGAGGAAAAGCTTTTGGGTTTTCGCCACTGAGCACAATTTGGCCGTGGCTTTGCGGAGGTGGTTTCCTTTGGATCCTAACTGGCTTGGTACTTTGATCAAGAAAGAACACTGAATTGTGTATGTCTTCCTTGTGAGCAGCAGGGTGCATCTCCACGTGTCTGTGCAGCTCCAGGTCTGTGAGTGCACAAGTGTGTTTATACCTGTGTGCAGAGGCTAGAGGTCAACCTGGGTGTCTTCCTCAATTGCTCTCCACCTCGGTTTTTATGCACGCATATTTTATGCACACATAAAGTATGCACACAAAATATGCAGACATAAAAACATATAAACTTTACTCTTTTGGCAAGGGCACTTGCACACAGCAGCATTCGTGTGGAGGTCGGAGGACAAGCAGCAGGAACCAAGGCTCTTGTTACCATGAAGGCTCTGGGAAGAGAACTCGGGTCCTTGAGCTCAGCAGATAAGCCATCTCAATGGCCCCACACTGGGGCCTTTTGAGTCAGGGTCTCTCCCTGAACCCGGAGCGCATCAGTTTTGCCAGAAATTGCCTGTGAAGCAGAGAGCCTCCTGTCTCCATCTGCCCAGCGCTGGCGTTGCAGTCCCCCTCTGCCAGGCCTGGCTGTTGAGTTCTGGTTTGTTACATGAAGTGTGGAATTTGGTCGAGTGCTTTCTCTGCATGGACGGAGACCGTTTATCCTTCAGGCTGTTAGTGTGTGTCTCTGCTGTGTTGGTTTTCCAGGCAGAGCCCTCCTGTACGGTTGGACCTTTGTGCTTGTTCGTGGAGCCCAGCCCTTTCCTGCACCGGTGGGCTCAGCTGCTGCATGCTGGGATATGTACAGGGTTGGGGTTTTCTTATTATTTATTTATTTATTCATTTATTTGTTGAGACTCGCTGTGTAGCTCAGGATGGCCTTGAACTCACAAGAGATCTGCCGGCCTCTAGCTCTCTCAAGTGCTGGGATTAAAGACATGCGCCACCACCTCCTGGCTTTAGGATGTTCATAAGGGATCCTGAGGTCTAGTTTTCTTTTTGGTTGCTCTTGTCTTTGTCTGGCTTCAGCCTCTGGGTCTCACTGGCCTGGTGTGTAAATTGGAAGAGTTTCTTTCTTGTTCTGTTTTTAGGGAAAGTCCTGGAAGGATTGCAGCTCTGCTTTCTTCACGTGTTGGTAGAATTCACCAGTGAACCCTGGGCACTTTCTTTGTGGGAGATCTCGATTGTTTCTGTTTATCACAGAGAGACTGCAGGGGTTTGTGGCCTGACCTCGGTGGTAGGCTGTCTAATTCGTTGGCATACTCACTAATATTTCCTTGCTTTCCTTTTTGTTTTGCTTTTGTTACTGTTTTTATAGAGTAGAGTTGGGGCCTGTTGCAATATTTTACTATAGATGTTAAGCATGAAGGGTAAGAGAGAAATGCTCAGAGAGAAAGGCATATTCAAATACATTGGGATGGGCTGACAAGATGACTCAGTGGATGAAGAGCCTTGCTGCCAAGACTAATGATCTGAGTTTAATCCCCAGGTTCCACTTTGTGGAAGGAGAGACCTGGCTCCTTAAAGTTGTCCATCATGCTCTGTCTCCCCTACCCCATAAATAAATTAAGTTTTTAAAAAGAGTATGGGTGTGGGCTTCTCTGAAAGAATATTTAATTATTCATTTATTTATCTATCTATCTATCTATCTATCTATTTATTTATTTATTTATTTATTTATTTATTTTGATGCAGAGTTTCTCTGTGTAGCCTTGGCTGTCCTGGACTCACTCTGTAGACCAGGCTGCTCTCGAACTCACAGAGATCCCCACCGGCCTCTCCCAAGTGCTGGGATTACAGGTGTGTGCCACCGCACCCAGCTGCCCTTTGATTCTTAAGGAGTAATATCCTCATTTTGTCTTTTGTGCTACTTTTCCAAGAACCAACTTTTGGGTTCATTGATTTTTCTGTCTGGCTTGTTTATCACCCTCTCCTTTTCTTCTTCTCCTGTCTGTTTGTTACAGAGTTCAGGAACTCAGTACAGCCCCGGCTATTTTGAACAGGTAGTCTTTCCACCTGAGCCTCCTGGATGTAAAGTTACAGGCATCCATCAGCATCCACTAGACTTCCACTCCTCTCGTTATTCCTTTTAAAAAAGGCTAGCTCTGCGGTTTGTTTATTTATCTCCATGTAGGCCTGGCTGTCCTGGAACTCCCTCTGTAGACCAGGCTGCCCCCAACTCAGAGATCCACCTGCCTCTGCTTCAGGAGTACTGGGATTAAAGGTGTGTTACTCTGGGTTTAATTTGCTCTTCTAATCTATTTTCTTTTCTTTCTTTTTTAAAAGAGATTTATTAGTTTATCATTATACACTGTTCTGCCTGCATAATGAGCCACCATGCTGGGATTGCTGAGAACCTTTGGAAGAACAGCTAGTGCTCTTAACCTCTGAGCCATCTCTCCAGCCCTCCTATTTTGTTTTCTTAGCCCTAAGGGGAAGACATTGGTTTGTGGTTTCCCTCTTTGTTAACATAAGTATTGGCAGCTGTCAGTTCCTTCCTAAATCTGCTTTTGCCATTTCTCATAAATTTTTGTCTGTGGCATGTTAATCTTTTTATTTCTTGTTTTGGTTTTTTGGGTAGGGTCTTGAATAGCCCAGGTTGATCCTAAACGTTCTACATCCTATCTGAGAATGCCTTGAACTTTGGCATATTTTTCTTGATGCTGTTGCAGCATGATGTACCCAAGGCTGGCTGGCCCGTGCATTTACAGGCCATTCTCCTGTCTCCACCTTCCATCTTGAAGTAGAGTTGCTGGGATTACAGATGCACAGCTCCACATCCGGCATTCACATGGGCTCTTTGGAGCGAGCTGGCTCCTGTAGGGCTTGAACTCCAGCTGTCAGGCTTGCACCGCAAGTGTTTTTACTCATGAGCCCATCCTACTGGCCCTGGGAACATTTCTTTTTTAAGATTTATTTATTTATTGTATATGAACACTTTGTTTTCATGCGCACCAGAAGAGGGAGTCAGATTCCATTACAGATGGTTGTGAGCCACCATGTGGTTTCTGGGAATTGAACTCAGGACCTCTGGAACAGCACTCTGTGCTCTTAACTACTGAGCCATCTCTTCAGCCTGGGAATAGTTCTTAAATATTCATCTTATTTTCTTTTATGTGTGTGTGTGTGTGTGTGTGTGTGTGTGTGTGTGTGTGTGTGTGTGCATCATATTCATGCAGGAGCCCACAGAGATGAGAAGAAGTAGCAAAATCCCCTGGAAATGGTTATAGACAACTGTGAGTCTAGGAACTAAACCTGGGTCCTCTGCAAGAGTGTAAGTGTATTAAAGCTTTCCAGCCCAACCCTGAGAACATTTTAAAGACAATGTCTTGCTCTGTAGTCTAGGCTAGCCTCAAACTCACAATCCTATCACCTCGGTGCTGAGGTCCTAGGCATGCATCACTAAGCACTGTGAATTTGAGAATTTCCATCTTGGATCCTGTGTCCCCAAACTATCTCAGCATCTCTAGCCTGTCTCCGCCTGTGCCACTGACAAAATCAGGGGCAAGCTCTTCCAGGGCAGACATAGAGGACCTGGGGGACTGTCCTCCTGGCCTTCTGGATTGTCCAGGGTGAGGGGTGACCAGCAGGGGACACCAGCACCATGTAGGTTGTATCCTCCTGCCCTAGAGAGTAGAGGTAACCATAATACTGTGCCCTGTCTCTGTCCTACCCCCAGAACCTCTGCCACCACCCTACCTCCTCCGAGAAGTACAGGTCACCGTCCTGAACACCAGCAGGTGCCATGAACTGTACAAACTGTCTTCTCTCCCCTTCATCAGAAATGATGTGATCTGCGCTGGCGCTGAGGACGGGAGTGCGGACACCTGCAGCGTGAGTATGCCTGCCTCTCAGCGCAAGCCTGGGAGCTCTCCTGCCGTCAGCCTGTCCTCAGGTTTCATCCATGAGGAATTACTTAACAGCCTTTAGCTACCCAGCCTGTGAACACACCTCCCATCTTCTATTTATACTAATTTTCCCATAACCCCTGAGAACCTCAGAGGTAGAAACCACGGGCGACACTTCCTTGCTGAAGAGGCAGAGGTTCTATTGCTTGCCAGGGGGTGAAGCAGGGTCCCCACAGTGCTCCCTGCCCCGCCCAGCAAACCCTCAGGCTCACCCCTACTGCTCCTCAGGGGGACTCAGGAGGACCCTTGGTCTGCGACGTGGATGGTCTCTGGTATCAGATCGGAATCGTGAGCTGGGGAATAGGCTGTGGGCGGCCCAACCTGCCTGGGATCTACACCAACGTGAGCCGGTACTACAACTGGATTGAGACCACGATGACCCTCAATAGTGCTGTCAGCTGTGGTCTGGCCCTGCCGCTGCTGTGCCTTACTCTGCTACGGGCTCCCTGGCTTCCAAGGTCCGCCTGAGCCCATGAAGCTGCAGCTTTGGGCCCAAAGCACCACCGCACCGCCCCACAGCCCCAGGACGTTCAGTGTAGGGTAGGCTCTTGTTGTCTTGTCTCCTTTGCCAATAAACTTGTGCATATCTGAGTTGGCACTTTTCAGAACATTATGGAGACCTTGTGACTTCCGGGACACTTCCCTGGGTTCACCTTGAGTGGTCCAGCCCAGGACCCTGATAGCGTGGATAGGCTTTGGTTGCAGACAGCAGACCTGTCAGAGATGGTGGAGTGTGTCCCGGAGCCTGCAGCAGCCTGAGAAACTCCTCAGAGAGCTCTGCTCATGCGAAGCGCTTCTGTTGCCATGGTAAAACACCACGGACAAGCCAAGCAGTGGCCCACGCCTTTACTCCCAGCACTCAGGAGGCAGAGGCAGGAGGATCTCTGAGTTTGAGGCCAGCCTGGTCTATGGAGTGGGGAGTGGGTTCCAGGACATCCAGGGCTACACAGAGAAACCTGTCTCAAAACCACCACCACCCCTCCAAAAAAAAAAAAAAAAAAAAAAAAAAAAAATCCACTACAACCAAAAGCAACTTGGGGAAGAAAGGGTTTATGTCAGCTTACAACTCTCAGGTCACACTTCATCACTGAGGGAAGTCAAGGCAGAACATGGACTCAGAAACTGAGGCAGAGACCATGGAAGAAGCTTGTTCCTCATGGCTTGCTCAGCCTGATTTCTTATAAAAGCCAGGATTGCCTAATCAGGGATGGCACTGCCAACATCAATCATTAATCAAGACAATACCTCCAGACGGGTGTACAAACAAACCTTAGTTGTTCTTGTTGTTGTTTATTCAAGACGGTGCCCTAGCTGTCCTGGAACTCACTCCATAGATTAAAGTATACCTAGCCAGCCAGGCACGGTGGCACACAACGTTAATCCCAGGACTCTGGAGAGGTGGGCAGAGCTCTGTTATTTCAAGGCCAGCCTGCTATGCAAAGCAAGTTCCAGGACAGGACATCCAGGGCTACACAGAAGAATAAACAAGAATGAAGTACACCTAGTCAAATCTTATAGAGTTATTTTCTCAATTAACTTTCCTACTTACCAGATATGTCTAGGTTTGTATCAACTTGACGAAAGCCAACCAGCACAGCCAGTAGGAAGTAGAACAGGAGTTTGGGGTGACTTGTTTTTGTTTTAGACCAGGATGGCCTCAAACTCACAGAGATCTGACTGCCTCTGCCTCCTGAGTGATGGGATTAAAGGTGTGCACCACCACACCCGGCCCTAGAGTAGGAGTTTATTAAGAAGGTCTAACAGATTTCTGCATAGGAGTGTCTGAGCTTCATTTCTATTGCTATTTAGAATGCCCCTGGAAAGAGCAGCCTTAAGGGGGAAGAAGCTTATTTGGCATATAATTCCAGACTATCATTGCAGAGAAGTCAAGGCAGGAACTTGAAGCAGCCAGTTTTATTCATCATCAAGGCCAGAGATCAATTGAATCAGACATGCTTGCCAGCTCTCAGTCCACTTGCTTTTTTTTTTTTTTTTTTTTCTTACAGTCCAGAACTCAAATCCAGGAAATGGCACCACCCACTTTTTAGACTGGGTCTTCCTACATAATTAGCATAATCAAGATGATTCCCTCCAGACTTGGCCACAGGCTAACCTGATTTAAACAGTCCTTCACCAGAATTCCCTTCCCTCAACAAGGTAGCCCATTCCTTTAATCCCAATAACTTTGGAGACAGAGGCAGATCTGTGAGTTCAGGTCTATAAATCAAGGGTTTTATTTTGGTTTGGTTTGTTGTTTGTTTGAGTTTTTTCTTTTTTTAAGATTTTATTTATGATGTATCCAATGTTCTGTCTACATATACACCTGCACACCAGAAGAGGGTGCCAGATCTTATTATATAGATGGTTGTGAGCCACCACGTGGGTGCTGGGAATTGAACTCAGGACCTCTGGAAGAGCAGCCAGTGCTCTTAACCTCTGAGCCATCTCTCCAGCCCCCAAGTCTTTTTTTTTTTTTTTTCCAAAACAGTTTTCTCTGTAGCCTTCGCTGTCCTGGACTCACTTTGTAGACCAATCTGGCCTCATACTCACAGAGATCCTCCTGCCTCTGCCTCCCAGGGTGCTGGGATCATAGGCCTGTGCCTAGCTATGAATCAAGTTCCTAGACAGCCATGGCTACACAGAAACCCTGTCTCAGAAAACTTCAAAAAGGAAAGAAGGAAGGGAGGGAGAAAGAGAGGGGGAGAGAGAAAATAAAACTTCCAAAGTGATTCTTCTACATAGTGTGAAGTCGACAATTAAACTAGCCATCACACAGGCATTGTGGCACACTGCCTTCAATTTGAGTCTGGCTTGGTCTACTGTGTTCTAGGACAGCCAGGACTCTATAGAGAGAGACCTTGTCTCAAGAACAAACAAACAAAATCTAACCATGACAAGGGTTAATAAAAAGAGACACACCAAGTGTGGGTGTGGGGTCCTCGAGAGGACCACGATGTCTGAACACTAGCCATATATATGATTTTGATTGGCCCCTGAAATTACAAAAAAAAATTTGCTAAGAAATCTTTTTCTTTATTTTTTTTTATCTCTTTTGATTATTATTTTTTAACATGTTGAGTGTTTTGCCAAGTGTCTGTCTGTACCACATGTATGTCTGGTACCTAAGAAATTGCCTTCCATTCAAAAAATAAAGGACAGGAGAGATGACTCAGCAGCTAAGAGCACTGACTGCTTTCCCAGGGGACTGGGGTTCCACCCCAACACCGACGTGATGGCTCACGGCCATCTGTAACTACAGACCTTAAGTGTGTTCATTCTATTTTTTCAGTCTTATTTTAAACATCGCTATATAAAAGGAATAGTGGCCAAATGTGGTGGCTCAAAGCTTTTAATCTTGGCACTCCAGAGGCAGAAGCAAACCCATCTCCATAAGTTCAATGCCAGCCTGATCTACGTAGTGAATTGGGCCAGCCAGGATTACACAGCGAGGCCTGGTCTCAAGAAAGAAAAAAAAAAAAAGAAAGAAAGAAAAGAATTGTCTCTTAATAGGCATCCTTTGACAGATTTTGTTAGTTGGTGGCATTCTGTGTTGTTTTGTTCTTGGTTTTTGAGACAGGGTTTTACTGTGTAGCCCTGGCTGTCCTGGAACTTGCTCTGTAGACCAGGTTGGCCTCGAACTCAGAGGTACACCCGCCTCTGCCTCCCAAATGCAGGGACTGAAGGTGTGTGCGACCACCGCCCAGCTAATTGGTGGCATTCTTGAACTTCAGCAGACGGAAAACATCAGCCACACTCCAGGGAGAGGGCCTCCTTTTCCTTCCTGTGTCCTTTAACTTTCTGTTTTTCTCTCCTGCCTAAGACCCTCTTGCTGTTAATGCAACACAACAGATGACTTATAGAATGATGGTATCGACTCAGTAATGTTTGAGTGCTGGGAAGACTGGGGTGAGGGAGCGATGGAAGAACTCCTAACCGTAGCTGGCATCGGAGTGTGCCTATCACAGCAGCGCCACGTGCGCCTCACCACGGCACATGCGGCTCGTCTTCGGATCAGCACTTAGCTGCATGGAGATTATTGGGGAATGCAAGCCCAGGAAGCATGGGCTCTCTGCACTGCCATAGGATTTGCCACATGCCTGGCACAGGGTGCAGGTTGTTTGCCATTAGAATGAGAAGATTGAGTCTAACAGGGCAATGGGCTGAGCACACAGTCTGTGCCTCCATTTGGGTTGGGTTTGGGGGTGCTCTCTTCTTTCTCCCAAGGTTCAGAGGTCCAACATTCAAACAGTTGCAGACTTTGCCCTTGAACTGAGCCAAATTCTCAGAGACCACTGTTCCATGCATCCATCTCCCCATGTCCTCCAGGTTCGCCCCTTCACTGCAAACTGCAGCTTCCAAGACCTGTGCCAGATGGGGTGCCCATCTTCTGACACCTCATGCCCACCTGACTTGCAAAGCTTGGCCCGTGACCCCAGAGCTGACCAACCCCACTAGTCCTTAATCTTTCTGACAGCCACAGATGCTGCGTTGGGGGCTGTGACTCACCTTCTAGGGGCAGCCAGACCTGGAGCAGCAAAAGAACCTGGGAGTTGGAGGAGGATGGGCACATTCGTCTTCCTGCACTTTTATAGAACTTGCCACATGCCTGGCACTGCTCCAGGCTCCGAATGGTTCACACAGCTAATCTTCATAACAACCAAGTGGTTGGCTTTATAGATGAGGAAAGTGGGGTGTGCAGGAAGTTGAGTAACTCTACCAGGGCCTCTGCACTGGAGAGAGAACATGCCAAGGCCAAACCCCAGAGAGCTGAGCTAGTGGGATCAGTTGATACCACCAGCCCCACCCCACCTTCTGTTCCTCCCTCCCTCCTTTCCCCATCCACTTTCTTACTCTGTGTGTGTTGCTGGGGCTCAAACCCAGGCCCTCAAATAAGCAAAGGCTCTACCACTGAGTGATCCACCCCACAACAAACATGGGGGCTTTGTTTCCTGGAATCAAAGTCTCACGTATCCCAGGCTGACCTCGGATTGCTATGTAGCCAAGGATTATCTTAAACTTTTGATCCTCCTGCCTCCTCGACTCATAGGTGTGTGCCAGCACAACTCACTCCAGGTGACCCTAGGTTAAAAGGCAGGGTCTTGCGTATGTGTGGAAGCACTCTGCCATCTTAGCCACATTCTCAAGACAAGTGTGGTTTTAAGTTTGGTCTTTTCAGCAGAAGCCAAGCCAAGTCTGAAACCTGGCCTCCTCCCTATTTCTCTCTGTCTTGCCTTCAGCCTGTTGTCTTGCTCAGCCTTTCCCCCTTACTCCCAGTTCTTCGATGCCAGCTTTGTATTGAGTATAGTTCTGCTCAGTGGAAACTCCCTTGGAATGAATGTTTAAGTCCTTTATCAGGTTTTCAAAGCAATAACCCTTGGGCAGTCTAACAAAAAATTTAAAACAGTTTCTTAAACCTTTGGGGAGGTCAAAAGACCTTGGTATTTATTTTATTACTTTTGCAAAGTAAAACCAAGCCCTGCTGTCTGAGCCAATTAAGAAAACTGCAGTTATTACAGTGTATCGTGTCAGGATGGTAAAGATCTATAAAATAACTTAGTATATTCTATACTGCTGAAAGAACCCATATGAAGAACTTTAATGAAAGTTTTT